AGACTCAGAATGAATTACCGGATTCTGGTTTCTGTGTTGGTTAAAGACAATCAAGTTTCTCAGTAGATGACCTGACCTGTCTAGGACCTAAATCTCTGCCTATCTATGAATTAGTATTTTCATACACTTTTCCTGCCTTTCAAAGCTTTTATAATGTTTTAGATAGTTTAAAACAACAAATTGAGTTGTAATTAGAAATTGTTTTGTATATAAGTATATAGTAGTATAGGATAGCCATGAATAAATAGCTACCGGTAATACAATTCTTGATTTGCATAGTAATGATAACATTTGTTCGTGGCATTTTATTTACTGCCCTTATTCTCAGAAGTCAAATTTTTCGGTGAATTTCAATTTTACTATTTGCCAGCAGCATCTTAAAAATTATTTGTGGTATAGGAAACAGTTTTTCATAAACATTTTTTTCAGTGATAAATTTTTGGAAGGATAACTGTTGGTTAATTTTGAGGACTGAAATGCTATAAAAGCAATCAATTGAGTGGCTTGGATAGTACAAGATATTTTTATAAATTGGTTCAAGTTTTTTTGAACTTCCAAGCCCTGATTTTGAAAAATATTTTAATCGTAAACATAAATCTATTCAAACATTTCAGCTATAAATAACAAGTCTATCACATTTAGTGTATTTGAAAAAAAAGCTAATGGTCTAGTAGTAGATTTTATTTTAAAATCTCAATGCATGAGCTAAAAATGTAAACGCAATAATATTTCTACGCTAAATTTGTATTTACTTTTATTTGAATCAGTATTATAATGAACTAGATGGAAATGAGTGGATGTTTTTATATATTTATAAGTGAAATATTGTTAGTTTTCTGAGCACAGTTACTGTTCTTTTTGAGAATATTTTGTGCATAAAACAGTAAAAGTAACACTTTGCTTTAGTAGTGGTGCCTTGATGAATCCCTGAAATGAACAACTCAAATATTATCGTAACAAAATTATTGAAACTCCATAACATTTTTAAAAATCAACCCAGCGGCTTTTCCTGTATATTTTGATTTTGATCTATGATTATCAAAATGAAAATAGTGCTAAATTTATTAGTCTCAAATTGTGAGGTTTTTATAGGTTTAAAATATGTAGAGTTCTTAGTTGGCTAATTTAATGGCTTTAATTTGTTGTATCAAATTATTAAAGCAAAAAAAAAAAAACTTTATTATTTAATCAATATTATTCTAGAGCCATCTCAATTTATAAGCTTTACACAATTCAAATAGCTTATAGAGAAATGGATTGAAATAAAATACAAATTTGTAATTAAATTACGGCTCAAGAACTAACTCACTTACCCACAGACGAATCAAGAACTTCAATGACGAGTTGTGAACTTAAATCATAGTAAACAAACCATCAAGGCACGACTCGATAAACTTTTTTTAAGCTAAATACTTTTTAGAAATTTCTTTGTGGTGTTAATAGTTGTGTAATTTTTATATTTTATAAATGTTTTCAAGACATTTATTAGATGCTTAGCAATATTTTTAAGTAGGTTTAGTTGGGCCATGGAGTTACCAATCTCTTTATATGCGGAATAGTTACGATTAGTTATTGTCTGGCGTTACACTGTAAAGATATTGTGTTCACTTATAGTAGACAATATTACTTCTGTGGCCACTGTTAAATTTCATTAGCATAATTTATACACAATAGTATAGAGAAATATAGGCCTAATCGCAGAAACCTGTTTGTGTCAACTGTACAAATGTCTCATATGTAAAAAGTTTTCTATCGAGTTTGTTTTCTTCTCCGTAAAGGGTCGAAGGTTATTTTTTGTGATATCGTAAAGTTGTAAATACAAGTGTAGATAGTTTATACAAACGCTTGATTTTATTATATTGTTACATAGATGTAGAGTTCGACACTAATAATGTTATTGCTGATATTTAGTTTAAACGGTCGGTTGTGATATTGATATTGTAAATATATTTATAATATATTTAATAATTTGGTTACCAATAAAACCTTATACTGGATGCTTTTCAACTCATTTCATTACTTTTTCATCTGATTGTTTCCTTTTTTTACCTAAAATATGTTAAAGCCTTGAAAGATTTGTTTCAATCAAACTACTAAATTTAATCATTTTATAAGAGTCCTTATCATCTCAATGAATTATAGTTAGGCTAGATGTTTTTTTTAGAATTTAATTAATTAAACTATTTACTGAATCATTTGTTATGTAGAACGTATTAATAGTCAAAGGTAGAACCAACACATGAGTCCTCGTTTTATCCTGCAACTAAAATCTTATAACTAAAGCAATACTCAATAAATAATGTATATTTATACAGTGTGTAAATTAAGTCTGGCACACATTTTTTATCTTTTTTTCTATAGTAGATAGAAGAAATCAATTTGCAAGACTGATTAATAACAAATGTTAGGCACTTTTTACAAATTTTGAAAATAAAAATTTCCTTAAGGGCAAGGGGGGGTGGGGGGTAACTAAAAATTTTCAAATGACAACCCCCATCTTGTGACCCCTCATTTTAAAGGTCATTGGAAGACAAATCCAAAGATGTGTCTGAAAAAAAAAAATTTGCACCCTATCCAAGATGGCGGTTTAAAATGTACTTAGGGTTGAACGGGTAAATTAGGTATGGCACACATTTCTTATCTTTTTTACTCTTTGTAGGTATGAGGAATTAATTTGCGGGACTGAGTGAGAACAAATGTTTGGCACTTTTTCATAATTTTGAAAAAAAATCCCCTTAAGGGTAAGGTGGGGGTGGGGGGTAACTACAAATTTTCAAATGACAACCCCCATCTTGTGACCCCTCATTTTAAAGGTATTTGGAAAAAAAATTTAACGATGTGTCTGAAATTTTTTTTTGCATCCTGTCTAATATGGCGGCTTAAAATGTACTTAGGGTTGAACGGGTGAATTATGTCTGAAACACACTAAATTTTTTTCAGACACATCGTTAAATTTTTCTTCCAAATACCTTTAAAATGAGGGGTCACAAGATGGGGGTTGTCATTTGAAAATTTGTAGTTACCCCCCACCCCCACCTTACCCTTAAGGGGATTTTTTTTTTCAAAATCATGAAAAAGTGCCAAACATTTGTTCTTACTCAGTCCCGCAAATTAATTCCTCATATCTACAAAGAGTAAAAAAGATAAGAAATGTGTGCCATACCTAATTTACCCGTTCAACCCTAAGTACATTTTAAACCGCCATCTTGGATAGGGTGCAAATTTTTTTTTTCAGACACATCTTTGGATTTGTCTTCCAATGACCTTTAAAATGAGGGGTCACAAGATGGGGGTTGTCATTTGAAAATTTTTAGTTACCCCCCACCCCCCCTTGCCCTTAAGGAAATTTTTATTTTCAAAATTTGTAAATAGTGCCTAACATTTGTTATTAATCAGTCCCGCAAATTGATTTCTTCTATACTATCGATAAAAAGATAAAAAATGTGTGCCAGACTTAATTTACACACTGTATAATTGATAATTTAGCATACAAAATATTTTGTTTTAAAAATATTTTTGTAAGCCTATTGATAAATGTGTTAATAAACACAAAAACTAGATAAAAATACTGATCAAACCCCGTTAAATTTTATCATTTAGTTTCCCTACCGGAGTAATTTTCATTATTACTGTATATAAAAAAAAAATAATGCAAGTGAACCATTAAAATAATATTTTCTTTAATCTATATTAAAATGTATTCAGTGAGCATTGTATTTTTAACAGCTACACACAGATTAGATTTTTATTAGGAAAGCATTTTAAAAAAGAACATCACAATCACATCTAAACTGCGAAATATAAATAAATGTCCTCATGTTTATTTCAAACGGTGTACACATTTTTTCAAGTTAGGGAATTGAGGATTTTCAAAACGTCCAGTTACTTTTCCAATTCAACACATTATACCGCTTATCCCTCTAAATTGCTTGGAAAGCATCCACGTATAGATTGGTGAAGTAAACCGTAGCATAGCAGTAGTCGAGTTATCGTCAATTACCAAACCAAACTTAATAAATCTTTTAATTAACTAGTCAATTTTTGTAACCAAGCTCGTTCCTTAAGATACACAATCATAACAACGATTCAAAGCCTGTAGCATTTGTGATATTGAGTGCATTAAGCATTCTCATTAATAAAATTATTTCCTTTAATAAATTTTGTCTCATTGTTAACCTATTTATGCACAAAATGAAATTATGAAAGGGTTTATGTGTTACAAGATAACTGCCATGTTAAGTTGATCCTGGGGTATGGTCAATACCATAGAGGTGCGTGTTATTTAATATAATAGAATTAATAATACTGTTACTGAAGTGTCACTTATTACCTGGTAATAGACTACTGAGAATTCCCTATTATTTCAATAACATCATCTGGACTGCTTAAACAAACGAATGAAATAATATCCCGCTGGTCAAGTATTCCATTAACAGCGACCGTCACAAAATAGAAGTACCTTGGTTGAGAATACGTGATTATTTTTGTAACAATGACTAAACTGATAGACCGAGCGAATTAACGCCGATTTTTCTTCTATTAATGGCGAGCATCATGAAATATTATGGCACCTTGGTAACGATTACATTTGTAATGTTGTTTGAACTTTAGAATGAGCAACTAAAATAATGGTGATCCTGTCTTCCTATTAATGGCGGTGATTGGCTGTTATGTTCTTGAGGAAGTAAGTTATTTCACCTATTAATTTCTGGAAAACTAAGGAGCGTTCCAGGCTATTATTGCGAAGTAACGGTATTTCCCATCTCTAATTGACCGTACGCATTGCTATGAATATCGAATAAGCAAGGACAATCGTACTATTTAAACTATCAAATTATTTTACCCTTGAATAAGGCAGTTTAATTAGTTTCTCTAACACATAAATAATTTATTTACATTATAATACACTAAAATTTAAAACATACATTTACACGTCTTATACTTTCAAAATTTTGAAATAACTGTTACAACCAGTTTGAAATAACTGTTACGACCAGTGATCACTGCACCAGGTCTATGAGCGTTGTTGGATGGGAAGCACTGAGATAGTTGACATGTTGTTGTAGCTGAATTATTCGATTTTGAGAATCATGGAAGTTTTCAGAAAGCAGACAAATCTCCATTTGCAGTTTGGATCTTATCTGGAACAGATTTTTGGATGAGAAGTTTTTGTTCAATGCACTTGTCTAGTCTGGATTTAGCAGCTAGTTATCGCTAAGGAAATAGGTGATCTCTAAGAATAAACTACAATTAAACACTGGCTATCACAACGAAACCAAGAATAAAAGCTGGTAATCACAAAAAAATATACTTTCTGTTGATTAATAAGAAACTAAAACTGAACACTATTTTTTACCAAGAAACTACAGTTGGCAGCTAATGATGACTGAGTAAATACAATTTGCCGCTGGTAATGACCAAAGAAATATTAATTATAACTAGTCTCCGGAGCTGTTTGATAAATGCAAACCAGATTATCTGTCACAGCTCCAACTCGTCTTTTGTTGTGGGTAACCCAGACTTTCACCATAGTCATACCATCAGGGGCTTCAAATTATCCAGCTTTCTATGAAATCAAACAATTTTCACTTGTAAAACACAGAAGCAAAAGAAGTTATAGTTCGGCCGCTTAGAAAACGACCTGCACGCTAATGCTAAACCAATGCTGGAAGAGGTCGCTTTCTAAGCGGCCGAACTATAGTACATGGCAAAAGCGGACTTGATGGATGACACAAAAAAACTAGGATGAAAAGATATATTCTAAATAGGGGTCAAATGGGAATAAGTTTGGTGAAAGAGCTGTTGTGTATTGTGTCTCGTGTCTTCAAATGTGATTTAGTATTTTGTATTCTACAAGTGAAAATCCAAAAGGTGAATAGTTTGAAGACCATGACATATATATGATTATAGCTTTACAAGAGCTAAAACAAAGGACACCCACTTCAAGAACAAGTCAGAGCTGGGAAGGATTTTTTTAATTTTTGATATGTACAAGTAGAAGATGATAATTACTAAGAACCCCATCTTGTTCGTTAGGGTTTTTGAAAGATTCAGATAATGAAAAGACAATTCTGATGGATAATACTGGTGGCACGGAGATGTGTGTAACATACCTCGTCCCTCTCCCTGTTGGCAAAGGCAGCGGCCGCTCGGCACTGAGCCACCTCTCTCTCCATCTCAGCTATCTGAGCTTGCAGACATTTGCGGATCATCTCACTACGCTCCTTCACTCTCGCCACCTGACCAACACAAACATTTACCAAACTGTAGAGAGTGCTATAAACTGACTTATACAACTAATGTGGTCAAATACCTCTCAGGGGTGGTTGTCTGTCAACTATACGGGAGGCCTCTTGTAGGATAGCAACCCTGAGGTGCCTTAGCCAACCCACAGATCCCTCCTCCTCTTTTTTCTGGGTTCTATGACCAGCATACTTCTGTTTCTGGCTCTTCATTCTTCTTTGGTTTCCTATTGAAGAACTTTTCTCTTTTCCCTCCTTTTTCAGCCAAACCTCAGCGGTGTCAAGCGACTCGTGATGAAGAGGTGAATGCCACCCTCAGCAGTGGTTCGTACGGAGCCTCCAGGATACCAGGCGATCTCTTGGAGTAACTAGCCTTACCTGGGAATGTAGGGCTCTGCCTGGGCTCGACTTTCACCCTCACTTAACAGTTCCCTGGTGGGAACGTTATGGTTTCTTGAAAAACCTAAGCTCTGCCAGAACCAAACCTCAATGCAGCTCTAGAATCTGCATCGCTAAAACTTCAGGAGTTAGCTCATCCAGAGCAAGACCCATATCTCGAAGAAGTCCCAAAGAACAGAGGATCGCCAGGCCTAACTGTGGGTCTGGATGTCGGGACAAGGGTGGCCAAAGGGGTGCAACGGTCACTCCAGCCTCGGCAGAAGACCTTCAAAGCAGGGGCCAGAGGTTCAACACGTAGGTCTGATGAGGGTCAAGACACAGGTGTTTTAGCAAACACCTTCAATCTCTGGGAATCAACAATGACAACCAGGAGTGTCAATTTTGCAACCAGTCCAATGAGCCTGCAAAACACATCATTCTGGATTGTGTACGCTTGGTGCTACAACGGCCCAGTTTGGTCAAAGCCAGGTGATGAACCACACGCTAACATTGGGCAAAGCTCCGGACCTGGTCAGGGACATGGGAAAAGGCTTGCCTAAGCAAGTGGGGCATGCATAATAACCCTGACTATGGCGTATTGGGACCCTAATACAATACAATGTGAAGGAATAGGTAAACAAATACAATCAATATGGGCATTAGCTCAATTTAAAAAAATATAGTCAGGATTGCAACCTGACCTTTACAGGCCCGCTTTTATAAATGGGCAGACTGGGCATATGCCAGGAGTCGTCGGAGGTTTGGGGGCGCCCGCCGGGTGCCCCTCAGCCACCACCTGCCCGCACTAGGAAAAAAGGGGGGCACTGCTTCTGGGTTTGCCCAGAGCTCCACTGACTGGACCTTTTACAACTTAACATCAGCATTACCTGACGAGCAGACTCTTCTCGGACAGTTTCAAGCTGAGACACCATCTGCAGTAGCTCATGAGACTTGGCCTCCAGCTGATCCTTCTGTACAGCCTGGTTGGCTTCCAGTTGTAACACTACCTCCCTGTAAACATACAAATGTTACATCTCATAGGTACATCAAATAAAGACCCCATATTGTTTCTGTAGACTCTAAGTTGGTACTATTTAATAATACTACCAGTTCTCCTTAATGCAACAGAAAATTTAGTCCTCAGCAAAAATTCGGACAAAAGATTTATAGTTTTTGAAAACAGAGTTTTAAGGATATATATGGCCCAATAAATGGAAATGGTAAATTGAGAATCCGAAGAAATCAAGAACTAAGAACTCTGCACAAACATCCGGACAATGGCCATTATTAAAAGTAGATTGAGATGGGCAGGCTAATAGGTGAGAATACACAAAAATGCTCTTTTAAAGAAGTATTTGAGGGGAGGACAGCAGGCACCAGACCACTAGGAAGGCCAAGATTTAGATGGAAAAATACCTGATAAGAATAGTAGTTACCTGGGAGCAAGCCGAGGACCGGGAAGAGTGGAAACACATTGTTGCGGAGCCTGAAAACCTACTTTGGTTTGAATGGCCACAGCGGTAAGGTAAGGTAATGTAACTCTATCATTCAGATACTCTAGCTAAAATTAAGACATTTACCTCCTCCCCAACTACATTTTTTACTCACTTGAGACGGGTATTTTCACTTTCCAATTCGGTCATTCTTTTCTCGGCCACTTCAAGACTGTTTTTCAGATTTTCTTGCAACTCCCCATGGCCTTCTATAGCAGTAATTTTATCCTTCATGGATTCCATCTGAAACACATCTTATTGTAATAGCATGTAATGTAAGCAGAGGTGATTTACCATATTTGTTTATTTAAAAATATACCAGAGCTTATATCGTTAGCTGGAATACTGTTGGAAAAATAAAATCACGTCATGAAACCAATCAAAAAACTTGATTGGACCGTGAATGCTTTAGTGATGAATGATTGACTGATATTGCATTAAGTACCTGGCCACGAGCATCCTCCAGTTGTTGTGACATGTCTGCTATGGTCTCCAGTGCTATAGTGTGCATCTGCTCCGTCTCTTTCAGCTTCTGCTGGGTCATCTTCAGCAGATCCTTGATGGGTATCAGCTCCTCCAGCTGTTCTTGCATTTCTTGCTGGAACCAGAAATCAACATCACAAACTTTAAGCGGTTGACACAAACTATTCATTTATCAAACACTCAAGAGGTTGGAAATACTCTTTGAATGTCACATAATATTTTGGGCATATCGTACAACTAGCCTGATTGGGTTTTTGATATCAATCATCAATCCTAGTACAAGTAATAACATATTGTGCCTTTGACTTGAGCTTATTAGCCAGTTTTACCTTAAATACACCCATATTAGTTTGTAACATTCAAACATTCTTGCCACCTAGACTCATTGTATGAATATATGATAGGTTACATACCTTTACCTATGACCGTTTTTTAAAGTAACCATTTCATTAGTTCTTAGAATTGATAAGTATCTCATAACAGCATAGTTTTACTCAAAACAACACGGGTAATGGACCAATAAAAAAATTGTAATGATTCTAAATTCAACTAATCAGCTGTTCAGGCCAATTTAATTGTTGATTGGTGCAATTAGTATTTGATACAATGTTTCGTTGCATCAATGTCAGTGGCAATTAGAGGTTATAAACAAAAACATAACCTCTCTTAGAAGTTATGAGTAGTGATTTTTAGTAATTGAAACACCGTCGTAGGTAAAGTAGTGTACGCAACTCGCATAAATAGTGTTAACAACACTCATAAAAGGTTTTAAGGCACTCGCCAAGGCTCGTACCTTAAATTTTCTACTTGTGTCATTAACACTATATTTACGCAATCGTTGTGTAAACTACTATTACTCCTCTTCACTCTGACTATTTATAGGACTAAAGACGGACAAACATACACAACCTACCTCTATCATACATTTGCAACATTCAAAATCAAACTGGTTTGTGCAATCACAATGTGTAAAGTATAAACAGTGTTTACATTATCGATAAATAAAATCAATGACACTTGACAAATGAATACCTTTACTCGTTGAATTTCCACAGCGATCTGGTCAGCGCATGCCTTTTCTTTGAATTCATTTTCCTTCTTCAATTCTTCCGCAATTTGGAGTGTTCTCATATACTGGAAAAATATTTCCACTTTAATTGTGTTAATCTAAAGCTGTCTACTTGTTATTTTTACTAAAAGAAAGTTTTATGTTCAATTTCAAGCTGTAGTTGTGAGCTGTTATTGTTATCATTTGTGTGTGGTAGCTAGTAGTTGTGTGTTGTAGTGAGAAGTGGGTTCCAACACAATGTCCACTCACCTTATTCCTGTACTCGTCCAGTTGAGTAGCTTGATCCTCGATCAGTGATCTCATCTCCTCCATTTCCTCTTGTGAAGACTTGAACATCTGCTTGGCAATGCTGGCTTGCTGCTCCAAATCCACTATTTGGTCTTTGAAAGATTGGATCTAGAGCAAAAGTTCCAAATTATACTTCAATGGAAAATTCGCCGTGTTCAAGATAGAGATGTCATAAATGTTGATAGTAAGTAAAGAGTGCAACGAACGTCTTCCACAGATTATTATGCAATTGATTAAATGCACATTGAATGTAGCGATTGCTGTGAAAACTATTGGTTAAAGTTTGAAACATTGAGCTTAAAATTATTTGTAGCTAATTTCACCAAAATGCTGGAGTCATTGAGCTGGAATCCTGCATGAACATCCCAGTAAAATGGCTTATATTTATAAAACCTTAGGTCTGTTCCCGAGTATTTTATCCATGGATGTAATCCCATACATGAGCAGTGGCTATGCGTATTATGTGAGCTGTCGTTATGATTTGAACTAATGTCCTACGGCTGTGTAATATTTTTGTAGTTTTTACTTACCCCCTCCTATACATACTTAAGTTAAGAAAACTTTTTACATTATTTATTTCTAAACTGTTGGTTGCAATGAAAAAACTAAAACATCTGTAAGTTTTGAAAAAAAAAAATATATAAAAGTAAGATTTAGTGTGCCACGCCAGTGGACTTTACGCCAGTGTGGGAATTGTCCCTCCCACACCAAAATCCAAGACACTAACCACTAAGAAAATAATTACACAACCATTTTAGAGCTACTTTATACCTGTTCTACATTTTAACTACTAGCAATTTACTTACGTAAATACCTGTGAGAACTAAAACATAATAATCGTGTTACACTACTACAACTTTGTCAGGTACACAAGACATGTTGAGTCCCACCTGATTCTTCTCCACCATCAGTGTGCTGTTGTCTTCAACCTCCTTCTGATGCATCATCTCCAGCTCCTGATGCAGGATCGTTATCTCGTCCAACTCCTTCCTCGACTTTTCCAACTCCACTCTCAAAGCAGCCACTTCCGCCACTTTGTTTTTGAAATCACTGTGCAGCCTTTGGTATTGCTCTCTTAGGTCTTTGAATTTAACATCTTTGTCCGATTCGAAAATAACGTCTTTCTCTTTGTCTTCATCCGTTTGCGTTCCAACTTGTGGTAGCTATAATGTGAAGATAAATTTGTAATATTTCAATTAACCTCTATTGAGATTACAATAATGGAATAACTCATCAAAATAACAAGTTTGATCTTGTCCTACTAAAATTTAATTTGCCTATTAATTTAACAACATCAAAATTCATTTACGGCTATTAAAAACCTTTGTAAAATTTGTGGATGTTTTCGCAAATGATATTATGTACAAAACCAACACTTTAACATTGTGAATCAACAATAAAGTTCATTTAAAATTAATTTTTGTATAAGAGATTGAGTTTATGTGAAACTGAAACTATAGACTCTAATGACTAGTACACAATAAAAGTCCTATATTACTGATATCCCGAAGCAGTGCTTGATTTGTGAAAATTGAGATGCCGTAACAGTTGTAACCAAATTAATATGATTAGTACCTATTTATGCTAATATTTTCATCTTTCCGAAAGAGGTACCGGAACTCCGTTGCACCGTGTTCTCCCTCAAATCGAGCACTGTCCAGAAGTATATACAGAAGTTCTTTATAGAGTGCAGTAGTGAGAAATGTCATCATTCAATTTCTCATCAATATACATCACTGTTACTGTTACATTATGAGACTTTTTACTGTATTAAGCTAAGTCTGGGCTTAAATTTTCTCAAGTCAACTCTAACGTGTTCTGAAAAATTCCTCACGCCTCTTGGATTTCAACAGTACTTTACAACTTCATTGTCCCTTCAATACCTACTAAATTAAGATTTACAATGCAGGCAAGTTAGTAGTCCTCACCATCAATTTGCACGTTTTCCTAGGACTTGTCGGATAGCCCAGGTTCATTTTCTCCCTGTGAATGTTGTCCAGGTCGTTGGCAATCGTCACTATGTCACCACCCATCTTCATCAGCTCTTGTTCCTGCAGAAGAAAAACGTGCTCTAATTGCGATGGCGGTGCAACTAGGCTAACAGGGTTAACAGCCAAAGTTAAATAATGGTATGTGGACAGTCAGTTTTAAATTCAAAATTAGTTCAATTCAAAACAATAACAAATTTTAATTATAGGCAAAAAAACATTTTTTAAAAGAATGTTCGTTTCTAAAAATTTTAAACTACTAACACATAGTATATGCCTTTAATTTGCTTTAATTCCTTAAGTTACCCATTGATGCAATGTAGAATTTCCCGCCAAATATTATTTCCTTACACAAACCAAGGTCTGATACTATGAGTAAAATGTACACCAATCAAAACGTAACTCCAAGAACTAAGGCAAAAAATGGTAGGTTAAAAAATTCTTTTTTATATCATAATTATTTAAAGTAACTATAAGTTTCTCTGTCAAAATGATAAAAAACATTTTATTCTTTATTTTTACAGAAAAACTTAGTTACTCTCAATACCTATTGTAAAAACAATCAATATATTTATTTTGTACAATTATCCTAGCTACTATTAGAGGGTGATAACGATTACTTAAATTTTTTCAGTTAACCAGAAAAAATCAAAAGGAATAAGGTAATATGTAAAATTTGAAACTTAAGACAGTTTGATTTTCTCAAAATAGATGTTTCGCATTATTTTAATTGTATAAATATTAACAATAGTTTTTTTATATTTGTGTAGTATAAATTTCAATTTTTTTAGCTTATGATTCTTTCATCTCAAAAAGCATTTATGGAACGTCAATATATTTTTTAACAGTTAGAAATTACATTATAATAGCACAACTTGAGATTTGAGTTTCCTCCTATCCATTTCTTTGTGATAAAGTTATTAGATACGTCCTGACTGAAGTGAGCTTTTTTTACTAAATGTAATTGAAAACCAATTTTTTTAAACACACAGCACTAGCAGGACTCTCAATTAATAAAACTTTTCAACTAATCTGTTTTTGAAAAATTAAAGTAGGCTACAACTGCTAAGACTGGAATAAAATCTTTTCCACCTTAGTGATGATGGGTTAAGTCTAATCACAGATTTGTTTTCTTTTGATAGATGACTGTGTCAAAATAGAGAAACACACTTTATTTTCCAATGTTTTGGCCTATATATGTTGTGCTATCTTAGAGGTGATTCGACTTCCTTTCACAGTTGATGTATCAAGTTAACAACTGTCCGGAAGTCAAAATCTCCCTGAAGATGACACTCTACAATACAACAGAAGTGTTTCGTCTATTTAGACACGGTCGTCGCCTGAAGACCGCAAGTATACAATGTGACCGTGCAAGTCTAATATCTACCAAATGAAAGATGGTATGTCTTAACAAATCATTTACTGGTGTCAGTGTACAAAGTGTTGTTGGTGTTACTGTCTCCTCTTACATGGACATACCAAGCCCTGCATGTTGGCTTCCGCTGGATGTCCCTTGTACTGCATGTAAAGATCTCTCTTGCACATCTTCACGCCTGGCACACTCGGCTACAACAAAGATACAATCATTATATTCATGTGTAAGAAGGATCGTCACCAAAAAACTGGGAAACTGGTTTTCCACTCTCGTACAGCATTAAAGGTAATGCTGATACATAGTCCTCCCTGACACTTGAAGGGTAGCAATTGCTACATTGGGGGTAAAGAGAGATAGAAAATGCAGGGTGAGAGGGAGGAGTGAAAGTAGTCAAAGTATGATAGGTAGGTAAGAATTAATGCTCTGCTCTGGATGTCTGCCGTTAGTATTGTGAATGGACTTCCATTATCAATTACTGTTGTTTAGCTTAGTTTATTTTTCCACTGTAGGCGCATTATAACCCCTAATGGATCAGATTTGGTCTGGTTCCTCATGGCTGAACTCTTTCTTTCTCTTCACCACTTATTGTTTTTTCTCTGTCTACAACTCGCACTAACTCTGCCTTCGTCAGAGTCCTACCCCTTCACTATCCTACAATTATTCATAATCAACCACACCAACAAAACACAAAATACTGACTGGTCAACTGAGCTTCATAAGAGGATCAGCCAATGGAACGCTGACTTATTTTACAACACCCAAACAAAAAACAACGATATCAAAAGTGAGATTAAGCAATTCCAGAGTGGAGTACAAAGTTTTAACTAAATTAAGATTTCTAAAATCTTGGGTTTCAATTCACTGTAATATTCTTGATCACTCTTAATTTACTTCTCTAATTTACTTCTTAATTTACTTTTCTTAATTCTTATATATTTATTTTTATTTTTTTTTTTTGCAGGATGGAAAAGAGTCCACCCTGGCATAAGAAACACAAATAATTTCACACTACGCACAAATATTTTGTTTTTGTGTAAGAAAAACTACAAGTTTCTGTATTTTATGTGGCAAAGAGGATTCTATCCTGAAATAATCCTCAATCTAAATTCAGTTCATTGAGTCTTTCAAGGCCATACTTCAAGGCCAGTCACAGGCTACTCTGTTGTCAATATAATGAATGGGCTAAGTTGTTCACCTGCGGAGGAGGCTGCACTCTGAGCCGTTGCTGCAACTCTTGGTTCTCCGCAGTTACTCTGCGGTTGTCCATCTCCAGCACCATCATCCTCTGTCTCATACTGTCTAGAGTCTCCTGCATGTCCAGCAGTTGCTGCTGCTGCTGATGCCTTCGCACAACAAATACAAATTAACAATACAACCTCCCCATGCTGCATATCACAGATATACTAAGGTGTTTTCAACTGCAACAGCCACACTCGCAATTAATTTTAGAATTTTAAGTTTTCAGTTTACAAAGTTTTAGAACTTCACCCAGAAAAATATGTATTACATCTGCTATTGCACATGGTGTCAAAGTCTTAGCCTAGCCACTGAGATATACTTCACAGCAAGCGTGAAACAACTGGCGAAGAATTTCATCTAACAATGTGATTAATGCCAAAACCCACATTAGAAGATTGAGAGGTTTAAAGAGAATCGCCTTGCAAGTGTTTTTTTTTAGGAAATAATTCAGTTTACTCAGAATTGTTGATCAAGCTGGAATGCTATACAATTTTTACTTTTCAAAATTGTCCGATGTCGATGTGTACAGTGTAGCCAATGTGGTTGCAAGGATGCACTTATCAAAGTACGCAAACAGTTGTTATTTTCAGAAGAGCCTTAGCTAAAAAAATTCATTCTTTTCTCGTAATTGTTGCTTTAAATTTGAAAGCTACTTTCAATTTGACAACTATGGTACTCTGCAATTACAATTTCTGACTCTTATAAATTGTAAATTATGACTACTGGATATAAAGTAAATCATAATTCTAAAATGTTTGAATTCAGAACAGTTACTTTCAGGGTTCTTTAAGTTTCTTATCCTATTCATCATACCAAAGCTGCCTCGTAAATTGTTAATGTGGGATTTATTGTGAACAAAAGTTTGTCATAAACTCAAGGTTTCTCTCATCACAGCTTACCATTTAAAAAAATTGGATTCCCCACAGTGTTTACTAAAATCATAAAACTAAAACTAAAACCTAGACCGTGGAATTCTAAATAACCTTATTCTCTGAACTTCTGCGTTTTCTGCAGCTAGTCTCTGCTGGTTCATAAAACATTCATTCAGCTTTTCAATCTAAAAAAAAATTAGAAAAGGATTGAAGTATTAGACAAAAATGCATCAAATAGTGTATATTATTTGATTATACAATACAAAACCTACAATTTTACTTAATAAAACTGTCAAGATTGCAAACTTTACCGATACCAAAACTTCATATTCTCAGGCTGGGGTTATTTCTTAATGAATTACAGTACCTAAACACTTTGAATTGAACATTTTTCTACTATTTCCTCAAATTTCATGTGTGTATTGAAAAATTGTTTTAAAATATGTGTTTATCCTTGTTCTTAGACAAATTCATAAACATTATTACAAAAGGTAAAATAAATATATCTATGGCTAAAAAGTAAGGCAAAACTATCTAATTTTGTAACAAAACATTTTTACTTTTTGACAGATTTTTTACTTGTGAAAAGTGTAGGCCTGGTTATTAAATCATGCCATCAGGTTTATAGCGTGAAATGCTTTCACCTATGATATTTATTTTCAAAGTGTTCTAGAAGTGTATATGCCTGAGGTGTGCATGTGACGCTAAGGGCCGAATAATTGCTCCTTCGTCCCCTCTTCTGCACAATGGGATTTTTCTCTTCATTGTGCCCCCAAACCTAAATACCTCTTGTGCCCCTGGGCCCATGGATAGGCCCTGGAAGTGTACAACATCCCACAAGAGACTTTCACTCACACATTCGCCAGGTTTAGCCTTATCGCTCCAGGGCTCCAGGTCCTTCTTCCGCAGAGGTTCACACACGATGATCCTGGGTACGTTGTCTCCTGTGTCTGCTCCACACACCACTAGCTTGGGCAACTTGTCCTCAATGTCTTTGAAAGGCACCACCTCGGCACTGGCCGGTACCTTGGGCTTCTCGGGCTCAGCCACCTGGCAGGAACAGAGAGAAGGCAAGAATATAACAATGCATTATAACAACTATTGATAGAAGTATACTTCCCCTCCCCATCTAAAAGCTGTAGCCATAAAAAAAGGAAAACAGATGTAGCTGATGACCACCAACAGATTACTGTAAATTTATGTTGATTAACTGATTTCTGTCAGATTCAAACTTTTTAACCAATCCAATTTAAAATGATGTCTAATTGTAAACTTGTTTATGTCCCATCTTCATATTCTAGGATGCTAGGTTCTTGCCTGGAACTGTTTTACACATTACTTCAGGGTAGTCCTCACTGCATTGTCAAATAGATAAAATCCATTGGTGATTGGGGGGATTTGAACCCAGGACCAGAGGACCTCGGACTTTGGAGTCCGGAGCTTTACTAGACCAGCTTGCGTCCCTCCTATTTTAAACCATAGCTTATTTTGTTACTGATTGTTTCATCTACATGAAATATATCTACTCTTCAGTAGAGTAATCAATTTACCTTTATTTATTGTATATATTCCCAGCACAAAAAGTTAGTTAGATTATGTATCAAAATACTTCTCAATTTCAAAAGTAAACCTGATATTGGTACATTTCTTGTAGTCCAGAGAGTTTTCTTAAGGGACTCAAACTTTTCCACTACCCTGGTCACCATAAAAACTTGTCAACTACTCCTTAACGTTTAATTGTATCATTTACGTGTTACCTTTAACCGATTACATTTTTACAACTAAATCTGTCAACATTTACCATACCTTCTGCTTAGGCTTGCTAGGCATTGGAGGCCCAGACATCTTCATGTCCAGTTGAGACGTAGACACGTCAGCCATCCCCATCAGCTTCTCCAGGTTCCGTGTCATCTCTTCAAACTCTCCCAGCTTCTCGAGGAACTGAGCGTGGTAGGTCTTCAAGTTGGCGGTGTCTTCGTCAGTGGGATTTTTTTTCTAACGGCAAATCGATCCATTGATGAGCAAACAAAAAAAAATGTCAAATGGTTTGTGCAAACCCAAATAACTATAGGCCTATAGGCTAGATCAAACAATAAATCTGCTTATTAAATCTAAGCTTTACAAATAGTCACTTATAAAAGATTTTAAGATTGAAAAATTATTAAATGGATACCAATTGAAAAAGAACATAGGCCTACTGTATTTTTATTTGATTTTAAAATCTAAAACACTTAGATAAAGTAAATATCACTACAAACTATGTTCCCAGATAAAAAGTGAAGATTTTAAAAATGAACAAGGTAACATCTAAAAGTTAATAAAATGGTTTATATTACCTGTCCGTCAGTGATCCTATTGTTGTCGTCTTAGGCGACCGGTTTCAGGATAAAAATCCCATCATCAGGCTGTCAAAAATGTCATGTCACTCAAATTGAGGTCGTCGGTAAACATATAAACACACACATACAACACGAAAATACGGATTGACATTGCTAGCTACTGGCCAGTACAGGACACTACGACGCGGCACGGGTAGTTGCGTGGTCATGACTGAGGTGTCCTTGCTCCTCTCCCGTTATCTATGGAATGCCGGTGGTATTGTTGTCCTATTCTAATCGCTGCGTCATAGATAATGTTGGATTTGAAAGAAGTCTGTTCATTTAAAATGTGTTGTGGCTCAATCTTGATGGATTTGTATATCTCGAATTCCTCTAAACAATCTAAAAACCGTCCTTTTTTAGGGTAACTATGTAAAATGTGTAGGTTATGGTCAAGGCTAGAGTAATTATGGTTACTGTCTGCGAGGTGGTTGGCGAAAGCGGATTTTTGCTGGGCTATTGTTTTGGATGGAATGTGCTCTTTAAATCGTTGCTTAAATGAGCGAGTAGTCTGGCCTATATAATATTTAGGGCAATCATTACAATTGATCTTATATACTCCAGTCTTATTGGCTTTATCAAGACTGTTCCTTTTACGCTCTTTGAATATGGAGTTAAGTCTATTGTTGGCCCTGAATGATACACAGACGTCATTTTTTGCTAGTTCTTTCTTTATGGTGTTGTTAAGAATATTGCCATAATTAGCAGAGGCGTACAATTCACGAGGTTTATCAGGTGGTTGGGGTCTGGTGAGTGGTTTGTTTTTATGCTTATGTATTAGTTTATCAATCATACTGCTTTTGTATCCGTTAGCCACAGCTGTGTGTTTGATGATGAGGACTTCTTGTTGATAATCAGTTGGGCTTAGAGGCAGAGACAATAACCTGTGCACGAAACTATTGTAGGCAGCCATTTTTTGGTTGTGAGGGTGGTGAGAAGTAAAATGAATGGTCTGGTCGGTGGCGGTAGGTTTTCTGTAAATGGCAAACTTTAACCTGGATTCACATTTTTCAATCTTTAGATCTAGGAAATTGATGGAATTGTTACATTCAGTTTCAAGCGTGAAAGTGACGTTCTTATGGATTTTATTCAGGGAATTGGTCATCAGGTTGAGTTGCCTGTTGTTACCATTAAACAGTAGCAAAATATCGTCAACATATCTATGGAAAAATATTATGTTTTTGCTGTAACGATTTTTATCAGAAAGGATGTGTTCATTTTCAAACTTGTTTAAGAATATTTCCGCTAAAATTCCAGATAGGGGGGATCCCATTGCTAGACCATCATGCTGAATGTAGTAATCGCCATTGAAATGAAAATAGTTTTGTTTAAGGACCGTTCTGGTTAGGTTCACCAGTTCATTCACAGCTTGTTCTGAAAGTTTGGAGTTGGTTCTCAGATTTTCATTAAGCAAATCAATAGTTTTGGATACGGTACTGGAATGTTCGTGTACAAGTTTACTATATCTAATGATGCTAATTTGTGGCTATTATTTATGTGGATGTTCTCAATTTGGCGTACTAATTCAATACTATTTTTTAGGCTATGGTTATTTGTGATGACAATTTCATTCCTAATTATTCTTTCAAGTTTCTTGGCGATGTTATACGCAGGTGAAGGGGTGAAATTAACCAATGGGCGTATTGGAACTTGGTCTTTATGAACCTTGGGCAAACCACGCAGTTCAGGGGCTTTAGGATTGGTGATTTTGCAAAACATGATTTCATGTGGTGACAGTAATTCAGTGCTGTTGTTGATTACTTTGTTTATTTCTTTGGAATATTTAGATGTGGGGTCATTGGGTAATTTGTCGATATTGTTGGTGGAGATGAAGCTGAAAACTTTGTCCAAGTAGTCCTGCTTGTACATAATGACGACAGAGTTGCCCTTATCTGCCTTCGTTATCAGCGCTTCATTGTCTGCTAGCTTCACCTGTATGCTTGTGGCAACTTGTCGTTTAGCTTTAAATCTAGAAATTAATTTGTTGTTGGATCTGGGATTTTTCAGTATACGATCAACTTTGTTGTGGATAGCAACACGAGCAATATTTCTATTATGTTCGTGTTTTATGGTTTTGATAACTGCTTCGGACTGAAAAAGCTCATTTAGCAGCCCTTTAGAACTACTAGTTGGGAAATTAAAGTTCAAACCTTTATTTAATAAGTCTATTTCATCATCATTAAATTCTATGGTAGTGTAGTTGGTGACTCTAGGGAAGAAAGTATGTCCACAATTTATTTCCATTTCTTGTACTTGAGTTTTGAATAAAAGATCCAGTTTGCGTTTTTGGGTTATCTTTTTAGAAATTATGGACCTGTCAATCTGGGACTGAAGAGCACATTCCATCCAAAACAATAGCCCAGCAAAAATCCGCTTTCGCCAACCACCTCGCAGACAGTAACCATAATTACTCTAGCCTTGACCATAACCTACACATTTTACATAGTTACCCTAAAAAAGGACGGTTTTTAGATTGTTTAGAGGAATTCGAGATATACAAATCCATCAAGATTGAGCCACAACACATTTTAAATGAACAGACTTCTTTCAAATCCAACATTATCTATGACGCAGCGATTAGAATAGGACAACAATACCACCGGCATTCCATAGATAACGGGAGAGGAGCAAGGACACCTCAGTCATGACCACGCAACTACCCGTGCCGCGTCGTAGTGTCCTGTACTGGCCAGTAGCTAGCAATGTCAATCCGTATTTTCGTGTTGTATGTGTGTGTTTATATGTTTACCGACGACCTCAATTTGAGTGACATGACATTTTTGACAGCCTGATGATGGGATTTTTATCCTGAAACCGGTCGCCTAAGACGACAACAATAGGATCACTGACGGACAGGTAATATAAACCATTTTATTCTATAAGTGATCCTGGGCCACTAAGCATAATGAAATCTAAAAGTTGCCATGAATTAGAGCTCTGCCGTTCTTAAAATTGTCGTTATACATTCTTCAAATAGAAGATAATACCAGTAGTTTTAAAATTGTATAGACACACCTACAAAACACAATAAAATTTTGACACAATTTATGCAGCTATATTACTAAATTTTTTTTACTTAAAACTTAATCACATACCGTACCACTGACTCTGCTAAAGGATAATCTAGTATTGCCACTCACCTCTTTATAAGCCTTGACTTTAGCCTGCAGATCCCCAATCAGTTTCGCCACTGTTGCTCTCTTCTCCTTGATTTCTCTGATTCTCTCTCGGACAAACGACTGCGTCTCTAACAGACTGCCTTTGCTATCAAACAGCGGTTTAACTTCAGGCTTGTCGCTCTTCTGGAAATTAAAAATACAATAACAGTATTGTTTGATTGGTTTTAAATAAGGTTATAGATGTTATTTCAGTTTTAACATCTGTGAGTGCTTAGATGAATGTAGATATATTTTGAAGCTTTTGGCAGACTTATCACTAGGCTATAGGTTCATAATAATTTTTTTCTTTGTTTGAAGTACCGGGTTTTGGTAAATTTCCCAAAAAATCCCAGTCAAGACTTCCAGGTTCCCTCCACCATTGCTATTGTAGCCACTGATGCTTCTGACATCTTATAGTTTATTCCATTTAAACTTCTATTGATCATAAGCACAATTTAAAAAATAAGGTAGAGAAAAAAAAATGTGGGAAACCATACAGAGAACGTAGCACATAAGTAATGAAACTGTGTGCCACTTATTTATGATTCCCTAATATTAACCAAGAAGTTTCATTACCTTTTGTTTCTTTTCAATCTTATCTGCAGTATCATCAGTTTTAGGAGGGGATTCATCTGAAACAATAAGAATGATGTATTTTGCTATACATTCAATGTTCAGGTCAGAGATAAAAACTGTTTGTGTAAAAATACAAAATGGTAGGTAGATATCTAAGTATCAAAGCTATGGTAAAACATTCTTGAATTTTCCTTTACTTTGATCCATAAAACCATTTACTGGCGTTCGACTGTTTACTTACGGGACACACTGTATTGTGCTAGAGGGAAAACTACCTTTTTAGTCCATCGGCCACCACATAATTCTTGGTTTTCTTTTACAACTCTTGCAGTGTAATTCTGGGCCTTCTTAGAGATTATAATTTGCATACGTGTGCATTAAGTGTTGTTACGTTATTTTACAAAAGGGTCTGCCTTTGTTGCAACCGATTGGTCACTTTGTAAATACAATCCAGATGACAATACTGTTTTGACAAATACTTAATATGTTACAAAGAAATTATATTAAGTATGGTACAACAAGAATACTTTGATTACAGGAAGACAGCTGCGTCCTGTTTTGAATAATCAAAAAGCTACTAACTTCACACAGGGGAGCGAGCTGGCGTAGTGGTTAGAGCGCGGGACTTCAGTCCCTGAGGTCCAGGGTTCAATCCCCGCCAAGTCACCAATGGATTTTATCTAAGTGATAATGCCGCAACCCCTAGGTCTAGCCTGAAGTAATGTGAAAAACAATCCCAGGCTCGTGCCTAGCGTCCTTAGGACAAAAAAAAAAAAACTAACTTCACCCAGCAACCTTTTAATTGCTATGCAAGTATGTGAGCACCAACCACTCGGCTAAACAGCTGCTTAAGGTGTTATTTTTCATAGTATTTCTCCACCAGCTATTTTCTAATTTACCTTTAACTGAATCCTTTTTGGCTTCAGTCACAGCTTCTTCCTTTGGTGGTGGTTGTTTTTCTTCCTTGGGTGGTTGTTTTTCTTCCTTAGGCGGTTGTTTTTCTTCCTTAGGTGGTTGTTTTTCTTCCTTAGGTGGTTGTTCTTCCTTAGGTGGTTGTTTTTCTTCCTTTTCATCCTGCTTTACTTCTTGTACCGGTGTTTCTTCTGTAGCTTTTTGTCCTTCTTCCTCTTTAGGTGGTTCCTCTTCCTTTACTTTTTGCTCTTCTTCCTTTACACCTTGGTCTTCTTTTACTCCGGCATCCGGTTTTTCTTCTGTAACTACAATGTTGTGTATTTAAGATTTGTAGAAACGAAAATCATCTATCATTCCTAGGCAGAATCAACATTTTGAAAACATATTTTTACAAATCAAAGTTGTGCAATATAGTTTGTTGCCTATTAAACATTAAACTGAGATTTTGTCTAGAAAATGATCAAAATAAATAATCATCTGTGTTCTTAAATTTGTCAACTAGAGCTTGCTGCTATAATTTAGTTGAATTAGCTCTCTGAATTTCTTCATCCCTACAGAGATTATTGTGTTGATGAAAATAGACAAAAGAGTTATACTTAGCTCACAAAAACTGGCAGAACTGAGAAAACCATTAGAATCCTGCTTATAGTAGCCTTTATCTATGGTATACTATGTGAATTTCTTATGTATTTATTCAACTAAGTACGCAAAACCATTTGCTATGCTGAGTGCATGGCAACGCTGATGGCGCTGCCTGCGATTGACAGGCAAAGCTCTCTCAAAACACTTAATGCTTTTTACCACGCGGTTGGCATTCTGGGTTATAGTAATATGTTTTCTGTGGCAAAACTCACCAGCTTTTTCAACCGGCTCTGTTGGTTCTTCTCCTGGGACCTAGAAACATTGGAAAAACTGTTAAATTTTTTTATCATTACAGCGTTACTTTTTTACATAAAACTCAATAGATAATGATATCAAACCTGACAGTTTCATTCTATACAATAAAAACTTGTTACATTCTGACAACCGTTTGGAAAAACATGACAAGCCTAATTATTCTCCTGTAATCTGTGACATTTTTTGGTAATTTTTATAGAACTCATGGTTTGGAAATTGTGTATTTTATGACTAATATGAATAATAATAGATTTTTTTCATTTAGAGCTGGCAAAAGAGGAAGTGTATTGTGCATAAGAACTTTTCCTCACTTCTGTCGCTTTTGTAACTTGTACAGCAATCTCAATAGTTACTTGTCGATGGACTAATTTAATAATTCTAGATGTGTACGAATCAGTGTTGTTGGTAGCTTTTTCCCACGATCCCTAACATACATCATCATAATTCATAATAATATTTACCTGTAGGCTACTCAATCTTAAGTAACGGTACAAGTAATAGTTGTTTTCACTCTTAGTATCGTTTTGATTATCTCTAGTTGAGTTTTGATTATAAAATCACATACTGTATCATGGAGATGAACGTACATCACTAACAAATAAGTTAACCCGCTTTTATTTCAAACTATAGTATGTAAGATGGAACCTGCCTCCTCACACTTCGTCTAAATGGGACGGGCACGGGCCTATAAGCCGTTAGCCAGTTCCCAGGTAGTTGGAGGGTCCCATCTACAGGCAGGTTCCATCATACAAAGTAGCCGGTAGCCTTTAAGTTACCTGTAATGGGGCAGGCTCTGCTTGGTCTGCCATGGTTACAGGGTTGACAATCGAGGAGCTCAATTTATGTTATGTCTGGAAATTTAAATAGAGTACATTATTAATTAGACTACATTTTTATAAATAGGTACCCAATTAAATATTGGCAAATTCAGGCGCAATTACAATTAACACAATAGCATTTGATGAATAAATGCAAAAAGGCCTGTTTTTGCGTGCAATATAAGCTTACAGTAAGTTAGTCTATACATTACATAAAGGCTTAACTGTATCTTCTATAAGAGTATGGCCAAGTGAAAGTTTCACCTTCTTCATCCAAGTTAGACATTGTACAAATATGAAAATAAACACTAGAACTTCTAGGTTTAGGCCTAACTTATTTTCTGGCGAACGGTTTGGATGTACGCGCTTTTAGGCCTGAGAGATACTTGCACCACATTTCAACCCTTCCTTGAGGTGGAATTTTCCACTTACGTGCGCTCCAAAAAACCTTAAACCTCTCGAGTTCCATGGCCCAGACCCACACCGGGCCCATTTACTAAAGCGGTCCTGGGTAATATACTACTGAAGTTATACTACTAATGTTATATTGCATTTTTTTGCCTTATCTATCAAAATTAGGTTTTTTAGGCAATTAGGCCTACCCGGTCCTATTTATAAGAATTTTGCAGGTTTTGAGAACAGAAGTTTTAGATGCAATTAAATGGGTTGTAGGTAATGAGAAAATGATGGATACAGAATTAAATACTTACAATAGCATATTTTGGTTAGACTGAATAAAATTGTATCCCTAAATACTCTAGGTCTATAAATTTAAGATATAGGCTATTTAGGCCTATAAGTTAAGGCAAAATTTGCCTTATAATCCTTGAACTTACTAAAATGATAAATATAAAGAATAAGCTATTTCGTGTAAATAGTTAGGCCTAAGTTGTACTTGTATCTTTGACTGTGAATTGACATCACTTTGATTTGACCATCATTTTGGGATAACTTTAGCACACATAAGTTAATTACTTAGCAGATTTGATAAAAAAACAATCTAGCGATAATTTAAGTTAAATTTATGAAACTAGGCCTACGTTTTTGTTCAGATCATGTTTAACTTATTTTACAAACCTAAAACAAAAATTACAAAACCTAGTTGGTTGGCACAAAATGTTCTGAAACAATCAAAATACAAAATTATGGTACCCACAAAAAGTTGAGGTTTGGAAGAAAGAGTTTAATAATAAATAATAATGGTTTAGTCTAACATAGATATGAATATAAATTTACATACCTGTAAATTTTAAACTGTGCAGTTAAATTTGTTTGTGTTATTCCTTACCCATATTCATATCCCCAGGGGAAGGATAATGAATATTTACACTTCATTCAACTGTGATAGTGATTTTGAATTGGGCTCATCTGACAATCCCATTGTTGAGCTTTTTGCTGTGTCTACATCTGTTGAATAAACTGCAAAGACTTACAAAAATTATTCTAATTTTAAGCACATTTTATCAGCAATGATTTTGATCAATTATAATCAATGGTGCCTGCAAACGATGCTAGAAATCGTGTGTGAATTTCGACTGGTAAAAGAAACGAATACAATATAAGTTGGATTTTTTTTAGCTAGCTAGAAGCGGTCAAGGTGTGGTGGAATATCTTTGAAGATGAACCTTTTTGGCACACGTACCTATGTAAAGTTAACGAACGATTAAAAAATATCGATCTATTTTACTAACAAAAAACCGCCGTAAATAACTAATTTAGATTTTGTTGACCCTATGGCGGTTTTTTGTTAACAAAATAGATAAATATTTTTTAATCATTACCAAATTTTACATACGTGTAGAATACATGTTGACATGCCTTCGTTCCAAGTTTCAAGTAAATATCTATACATTACAAAAGTGGTTGTTTTGCTAAATGTATTGAATTTGTTGACCCGGGTCAACAAAATCACGGCCACCGGAGTTAAAGGCGGCCGTGAACAAAATAGGGAGTCCCGATTCCTAATTCCAAATTAACTACCGGTAATGAATAAGTTGTTATTTAATCATTATTGTCTCCAAATTTTAATTGATGTTTGCTTTGAAAATAGTTTTATAATTATATGAGCAAATATTAAAATATAGAATTTTCTTGCATTTAATTCCAGTCATTATATTAACAGAATAATGTGGTTGCTGTGACTGGGATACAAAATAGCTGTTGGAACAAACTGTTGCTAAAGCAATGTCTTTGAAACAGCTGTTGTTTTGTTTACTTTTGGTTACTATGGAAATACTTTGGATTGTTAACTTAACTGATACTGAAAGAATACTAGAAAGAAAGTTAAACCCATGAAACTTTTTAAAAGCAGGTAAACCCTAGGGTAAACCTGTAAAACACAATATATAACTTTAACTGATCCACTGATCCACAGATATTCACAATATGATTAACGTTTAGCTTCCCGCTTCTAGCAAAAAAATCCAACTGTAACCAAAAAAACAAAAAACAAAAATAAACATAACCTTACTTCTTCTAATCTAACCTCAATCAAAGTAGTTTATAAATAAACAGTTTTAATAATAAATGGGTGTGATCGTTGATAAGTCTGGACCAAATATTTATTGACATTCAAAGTGATTTTTTTCTTTTTGTGTGAGTTTTAAGTTTCAAACGAAAAATGGATTCATCAGATGAAGATATACCTTCTTTGATTCCGGCTGAATTCAAACCTGTTCCAGTTACTATTATTACTGGATATCTAGGAGCGGGGAAAACTACCCTTTTAAATTACATCCTTAAAGAACAACACAACAAAAAAATAGCTGTCATTCTGAATGAATTTGGTGAAGGTAAGTTTTACTAACATAGGCTAGGCCTAGGCCTAGTTTAGAACAATCAAGACTAAGCCTACAATTTTACACGTAGGTCACTCATTGACAATTTGCTTAATTTAAATGTCTTTAGCTTCATTCTTTTTGGAACATCAAATTTTATACTTCGTTACCTTTTCTATCGATGTTCAATGTCTTTTACATTGACGTTCAATGTTTTTACATCGATGTTCGATGTTTTATTGATAGTAGGTTAGGCCTACCGATGTTTTTGGTTTAGCCTACATCAATGCTTTTGTGTGTATTGAGATAGCCTATCGATGTTTTGCATGAACTTAACCTTAGTTAATGGAGAGTACAAAAAGCAGACAAAGAACTGAATAAAACACAGATGTTTTACACTAGTCCCAAAATCATGGATGTTTTCGCAACAATGTCATCGGTACATTGATGGTTGGAACGTCTATGTTACCATCGATGGATAACCAATCGATGCTCATCCCTAACCCTTACCTACCTAAATTAGGGCTATTGCAATGAAGTAACCTAATAAGCCTCTTCAAGAAGAGTTTCTGGCATTTAGATTCTTTATGACCTACACCGCATCCCGGTCAAGATCGAGCTTCTTGGCGTGGAGAATACCCTGGATGTAATGTGACACACAGGTCCAATTGTCCTCACCCTCCAGGTCATCATCGGTATGACTGTGTCCACCGTCAGAAATCCTATGAACTGTTGGCCTTTCCCAACGCTGGCAGTGGAAAAAAGTATGTTCTACGTCATCGGGAATGTCAGATGCCTGGGCAGTATATACAATTGGGTGACACGGCTTTGCCCATCCTGAACAGGTACGACCGGAAAAAGCCCCTCGTCAGGTAGCCTACATTATCCATCAGAAATTGGGTGAGGTAGAAGTTCATCTCTCCGCATCACCATTTAACGCAAGGTTGAGCTTGCTGTATCAGTTGCCTGGTTCAGCGTTCCCGTGACTCCTGTTCCTAGTTTTCCTGCCACAGCTGGTAGGTGCTGGTGTGCTCCTCTGTTCGTTAGTGCTCCTCTCCACGGTGCTGATAAATTGCCTTTCTCTCCGCCACCAAAAGTTTGACGGGGATGACTCCAGCAACCGCCAGGACCGCGGGTTTGACACTGTTCGGTAGGCAGATTAGAAACCCCTTCAACTAGGCAGGCATTGTACATGCTCAAAAGGAACAAGGGATTAGTAGTCAAAACTTTTTTGAGGACTGCGCCGGGTACCCCATCGGGTCCAGGATCCTTACTGTTCTTCAGGGATAGGACGGCCGCCTTCATCTCTTCAAGACTGAACAGTGGGACATCATCCTCCCTTCCAAAATCCCGCAGTGGGCGCAGCGTATGAACCAGGAAAAGGGACTCAACTATCCTCTCGATAGTAGCCCTGTCCATGACGGAAGGTGGAGAGCGGGTTCCAAGTTTCTTGGTTACAAGTTTGTAGTGAGTTACTTACTAACAATAGACCAAGATTTACACTGTTTTCTTTCAAATACGTTGAAAAGAAAATTCCAATAGTGCAGAAACACTAATAAGCCTACCCAGACAGAGATAGATACTTTTATAAAGCTTGAGTTCAAATTTAATCAATTAGGCTACCTGCAGGCCTACCAAGTTTAGAGCAAAGCTGTCTTCACTTTGGTAACTTAATTTGACATCCATTTAATATGAGATTGACTAAATCATTTTGTAAACTTTCAGGAAGCGCTCTTGAAAAAAGCGTGTCCATAACGCAAGAAGGAGAGCTATTTGAAGAATGGCTGGAATTGAGAAACGGTTGTCTTTGCTGTTCAGTCAAGTAGGTTTTAGTTTTTGAATCAACATCTTGTAGTCAATGCCTTAGTACAGTGGTTTGTGATTTGTTTGCTTTAGAAGTTTTTACAAAAATCGATGTACAGTAGGTAGAGTCCCGCAAGTCAGTATTAAGCCATCAGTCATAGTACGACAAATCCTTGGTACGACTTGCGAATGATTTGACTTGAGCTGGCTTGAGTCCATGTTGAACCCAAACTCAAAAAATCATTAATTTTCTGAGCCAGGTGATGAGTTTGCGGGACTCTCCTGTATTATTAAATTTTGAACAAAATAAAGCTGCACTTACACCAGAGCTTGGTATAAAATGTTTGAGCGTTTGTCGGCCTCTGGTTTAGCTTATTCAACGACACAATCACTAACCAAAGATTTGACCATTTCTGTAAATAGTTCAGGTTAGTGTAAGAAAGGACCATGTAGCCTTTACTTAGCCAGGTGAAATAACAAGTTTTGTATTTTATTAAATATAACTTTTGTAATTCACAGTAGGCTACCTCAAAATGTCTAACCTATCATGAAGTCAAAAACCAAAAAGTTCGCCCATTAAATTACCTGGACGACTACTGTAAATAAATTACAGCTAGGCCTACATACAGTTTGAAAGCTAAACAAACAGTTTGTAATAAAATGTACTATTAGGTAAAACAAAAATACTCTCCTAAACGTCAGTTTTATTGTTTTTTCAGGGACAACGGAGTCAAAGCCATTGAAAATCTTATGGCAAAGCGAGGAAAGTTTGACTACATTCTACTAGAGACAACAGGATTGGCTGATCCCGGTAAGTAGGCTTGGTTTTCCATAGCATAAAATATAGCCTGCTGGACTATCATTACTCTTACTCTCAGGGCCATGCATATCTAAGAAGATATTTGGCCGCACCAACAAAGCCTCTCCATCTTGCTCTATCCTCTGCATCCTCCTCAGTTGCTCCTAGTTGCTCCATGTCTTTCTTTACTTGGCTCCACCATTTTTGTTTTGGTCTTCCTCTCGGTTGTCTTCCTTCAGGATTTCTTAGTAAAACTAATTTTAACTTATTTTGTCCTCTCTTCGTAAAACATGTCCAGCCCATCTAACTCTTCTACACTTAAATTCACACACCACATCTGGATCTCTGTAGAGTTCTCTCAGTTCTCTGTTGTGTCTCTTCCTCCATTCACCACCTTCATAAATTGGTCCATAGATTTTTCTTAAAAAATCTTATTTTTGAATGTGATTAACTTCTTTCCTTCTTTTTTATTTGGTTTCCATGTTTCAGCTCCGTATAATAATACTGGGCTGATTATTGTCTTATAAATTCTAACTTTGGTGTTTTTAGAGAGTAACTTAGAGAACATCAGTCTGTTGCAAGCGTAGAAACATCTGTTTGCCAGATTTAGTCTATTTTGAATTTCTATTTCTTCTTTGTTTTCCCTGGATAAGATAGGCCTAACCCCCAAGTACTTAAAATGTTCTACTTTTTCAAATTTATGGTCATCTACCTGCAGTGGGTCTTGGGCTATACCTTGATTTCTTGAAAATTGTATAGGCTATTTGGTTTTCCCATCATTTACTTTTAGTCCTAATTGTCCTGTTTTATCCATAAATACTTTTGTTAGTTGGCGTAGGTCCTCTAAAGTTTCTGCAAAAATGACGACATCGTCTGCAAACTGGATGCTGGACTATCATTAGTTGCAATATTTCTTAATATAGTTGAGTTTTCCAGGAATTGGTTCTGCTGAAAGACTGAAATGAGAGGAAATATAAACACATGTGAATTGGGTGTCTACTTCTATAGTTATTACTATACTATCTATAGTTCTGTAGTTATTGTGCCAGACAGAGCTCTTAACACATTTTTCTTTGAAACCAATTTAGATTACAGAATTACTACTGAGCCCAATCGAGGCACTTACGTCGCTACCACTGTGAAATATTTTCACTTTTAAATGGCTCCTCTGTTACAGTTACAGTTTTTAGTTTAAATAAGATGCCTGCAATGACTGATTGTGTATTTCAACTTATCAAAGTATTGTAACCATGACTAACTGTGGATGTTCTTCCAGGCCCAATAGCGACCATGTTTTGGCTGGATCAAGACCTTGGAAGTGACCTATACCTTGATGGTAAGTTCTAATTTTTGGGATCCCTTTTCTTTAGGTGAGTCGGTGACTCAGTCGGTAGTGGGACTTTGAGCCCTGGTCAGTGATTTTGTGGGTTCGGATCCTGGTATCTGCCACTACTTTTTATTAGTACAATTCTCCCTTGTACTTTACCTGCACACCCCTTGCTTTGCTGAATACGTTCCACGCACAGGTCCGTAGCCTATGTGGACGGGCGAATGCAAGGTAAAGAAGCTGTTAACCTAAAAAAATATGATTTTTGTAATTTCCTGTACCTAAATACAGTGTTTATAAAACTTTGTGAATGTCATTCCAAAAAAGATATTTTCTTGCACGATAAGCATTTTTCACACTTAATGCTAGCCTCTATGACAATGTTTATTCAATTTTTGTACTGTACCTATAAAAATGTGTTATCATGGTAAAACAGTTGAAGAGAATTCAAACGTCAAATAAGATTTTTATTGCAAATTTGAATGTATTAAATACCATAGACCTATGTCCTCAACTCCTACAACTAAGAGTGCTAACTTTATCTTTTCTATTGTAGGAATCATCACAGTGATCGACTGTAAAAACGGCTTATCGGTAAGTTTGTTTCTTTTTTTACTAATCTGTTTATTTAAAAAAAAAATGATGTTACACAAAATTACAATTTACAAATACATAGGTAATATATATGTGTGTTGAGTTAGATTGAAATTTTTTTTGCCAGTAGCAAATAAAACTCTTTTTGTCATCAATTGTAGCATCGTGTACCACCGTAATTGTATTTTTACCTTTGTATTTTTATTTCTTTACCTTATATTTATATTTGTCAGGTTAAGTGTAAAAAAGGGCCACGTGGCCCTAACCTTGACTGGTAAAATAATAATTTTTTCTTTTAATTTAATTTAATTTAATTTTCATGATGGGCATAATTGGCGTACATTAAACTATGTAAGAAGCTACCTCAAACACAACTAAAAAACCCCACCCATGAACTATTTTCAAATTTGTAATTTTTTCTTGAGAGGATTTAGATAATTGATCCAGATGATTACATAGTTTGGTTGGTTAGAGTTCTAAGAAATCAGCTGATTGTCAGGTTTGTTCGCAATTAAGAAAGTCATCTTTCAATACAGGTGGTTTTACACTCGTTAAGTCGTCAGCCAATAATAGACTTGTCTGTTAAATACAGTGCTTAGTTTTTATGAGGCCATAATTAATATTAATCTCATGTTGAAATTTTTCTTCCAACAACCGTAAATTACTCTCAGGAAATCATAGCACTTTACTCACCATTTCCTCACATGTCTGATTGCTATTCCAATTACCATTGTTTTGAATCACCTTTATAGGCAATTCTCACAGTAAATTATCTTTTCGCAAATCGCCCATTATCTGTTGTTTTTAGTTGTGAAATACACCCAATAAATGTTCTTCTAGCACATATGTTATGTGAGAAGGTCACCATTATTAATCATAGTTAAATATTCTGAAATCTAAATAGTTGCAGAACATTAATAAACTTGATTTAATTCTACAAATCCTGGTTCTCGGTCTTTATACACATGTGCTGGGTAAAAGTATCAGACTTAACAATACCCAAATTGATCATGTCCACTTTGATTTACAACCATTTTTACTTGAAAATCATGGTAAAATAAAAAAAACATGAACAATTACAGTGTTTATTTCCTATTACTAAGTATAAATTATATCAGTTTGATCTTTTGATAATATATACAATTTTTACAATCACCAGTAAAATACTAACACCACAGTTTAATCTCAAAATTATTAAAAAAATGGTTTTAACGTGAATGAAAATTTTTGTTCTCTTAGATGATGTTTGTGTTTCATCTCTTAAACTCCATCAAGCACGGTGACACACTCACAACTTATTTTGAATTGTTTCAATATTGTTCTATCGGTGTTAAATTCTTTTTTGCTTATCGATGACTAACCAACGCTGATTTGAGCTTGCTGGTTGTCTTGTTAATTTTTTTTGCATCTTGAATTATTTGATTGTTCTATTGATTTCATTCAATCAATGTTGAGTTTGTTGAAAGTTCCGTTGATGCCAAACAGCTGTCCATGCACGTTTGTATTGTCTTTTGGCCTTTTAGCTTCATCTGTTCTTCTCTTATCGTCTTCAATGAGAAAATCTCTCATGGACTCGATTGTCTTTTGCCATGCAGCTGAAAATAATTGACCAACGATTATTAAAGGCTCTTAACAAAACAGTTGACTATTACTAACACCTTAAAAAAAAGTCCTGGAAGGAGTTTCATTACTGGTGATGTCACTAAAATCAATAAAATTTAATTTATGATATGCTCTTTAATATAAAAATAATTACTAAGAATTCAAGTTAATTTATAGCTTTGGTGTTATGTTACGAAAGATTAGTGTTTATTGAATACAAATCATGATTAAAATTCTAGAATGGCGGCCAACATCTCGTAATACTCTCATTGAGTGCTACGTCCAATTGTATCTCATGCTCAGTTGTCCTGGTCCTTGGTCAATGGGCTAGTAAATAGTTCTGGCTAATGAAACAGCTGATCTTAGTCAGTAAAAAAGCTAAAAGGAGCTAAAAAAGCTAAAAAAAGCTAAAAAGGATCACTCAATCCACACATCTACACTTACATTCTTATTCAGCTTATATATACAGTACTACCACACGGCAATGAAAAGCCAGGTTTTCCTAGGCGCGGAAGTGGAGAGCGGAGAGAGGAACGCGGAGAGCGGACTCCACTTGTCTTAGGTAATTTAATGTTAATGTTAATGTATTCCTAGAAGCGGAGCGGAACACCATGTTAATCTCTTCTGCGCTCTCCGCGTTCCTCTCTCCGCTCTCAGTTTAAACGCTTTTGTTTGCCGCATGTACGATTATGGAAATAAAGAATATTGTCTATTGTCTATACACATCTCTAGGCTTTGTCGCCTCAAAAGAAATGATAATGACTATTTTCGTGGATTTATTTGAGGTTATATTAGCTTAAAAACAAAACCTGAATTTCAAAATTTTGCAACAAATGAAGCTATACTCTGTATGATGAAACTTGTCTCCTGACCCTCCATCTGCCGAGGGTTTAAGTCCAGTCCCAGAACATATGGCCAGGGGACAGGTTCCATCATACAGACTATAGGTGTGATGAGTTACCTGTTTGTTCCACAATGCTAGGTCCATCTCCACCGTAGTCCTTCGGTAGCATCTTCTGTGGAATGTATTTGTAGAGGCTGGTGTGATCTCCAGACAGTACGTGAATCTAAAATATTAGACAAAAATGCAATAGTTTAAGAATTATAGTCTATATGATAGAACCTGTCTCCTGGCCCATCCATCTACCTGGAACTCTACCAAGCCTTAAACCATTAGTCAGTCTCATCGAAGCATATACTTCGATGGTCAGTACACAAGTAGATGGAGGGCTAGGAGACAGGTCCCATCATACAGGCTATACAAGGATTGTACAAACTCAATAAAAAGCTACTCTGAATGAAAATTCAACTAGAGTGATAGTTTTGGTGCCTTTATACATAACTTCAAACCACTTTAAGTTATGATCAGTAAAAAAAGTTGAAAATAATTTTTTAACAGCTTAGGCTCACCTTCAAATTATAAGGGTTTTTTATAACATATCAAGGCAGTGGAAGATCGGTTGTCGGTAAAATGTTTTGTTTTATTTATTGTTAATTAAAATTTAACAGAGCTCATTATTTTGTTTGTAAATAAACAGTTCGCAAAATATTTGTTCATATAATGGATCATTATCTTATACAGGCTAAACATCACTATAGGTTGTTGACAAGCTGATGGGGAAAAAATGTGTCAGATTGCTGATACCGTTTGTTTTTAAAAGTAATTATATAAAACCCAAGATTGTGTCCACTACCCTTTCCAAGTAGTGGAAAGTACTAAACTTCAAATATATTATAAATTAGGGTACCCCAGTTATTTTGAAACAGAAAATTTCCTGTTGGACTATTTTGATTTTGTTATCCATTTCCTATTTCTTCACACTGAAACTAATTTATTTCAAGGTCAACAAGTTTTTCCTTTGACTGAATAACCAATAATTATTTTCAGACACACACCTATGAGATATTTATGTGACCAAACCAAAGCTGTAAAAAAACTCATTATCAAAGATTTTCTCCCTTATTTTTTTAGTTCCCTATTATAGCGAGCTATATACAAAAATCATGTATACTATATGACAGATTTTTTATAGTCTTCCTAAAATCTTTTTCATATGCTACTCTATTAGTATTGATTTCCAAAATGTAGGGTAGAGCTCAAGAAATTGACTATCACATTATTTAATTTCACAAGAAAACACCACAGCTAGATTCATAAAAAAATATCTGCAAAATCAGAAACAAGCAAATCATTTTTTTTACATCATACTACACAGAAACGGGTACTTTTCCCTCCGTATTGATAGGCTGGAAAGTTGCCCTTTGCCGTGCCTAAACACGGAAAAGTAACGTACTGCACCGTAAAATCTTTTTACCGTGCACTTAGTCAGCTGATGAAATAAACAGCTAATTGCAACGGCCTACTTTATTTTCTGAAATATAAAAATGTTAATTTATGTAATGTCCTAAATAAATTGTGTTATCAGTTTAAAATTATGTAATGTATCGTACCTTACTCACCCGGTAAGATTTACTGTACTGGCATGAAAATCCCGCATTCGGCTACGCCTTGTGCGGGAGCTGTTGTGCTTGCACGGTAAAACACCACTTACCAGGCTAGTAACATAATATACTATTACACGTCATCTATCCATTACGGTATTCATAGGTTACTGATAAACGTCGTCTTACCCTCTTGCGGACTTTCTCCTTGAAGCAGGGTTTGAGGATGTTCAGAGCCTGTTCCACATAACTCACATTGTTGATCATGTAAACTCCCTTGATTCTGATTGGAAGTCCTTCCTGCAAAACACTCATAGCAGGATAAGAAAATACCAACAACGCCAGTACCTTTACGTGGTCTTTGGACTAAGGATAAAAATATAGCAGTTCAAACCAAATTATATTTAGTGGGGAGCGAGCTGGTTTAGTTGCCAAGAGTGGAGCTTCAGAGCCCAAAGTCCTAGGTTCAAGTCCCGCCAATCACCAATACATTTTATCTCTATAAAAATTCCGCAACCCTCAAATATCCCGAAGTAATGTTTAGTAACAGTTCCGGGCTAGAACCTAGCATCCTAAGATGTGAAGGGAGGTACATACAAATAATTATATTTAGTACAATTTCTTTTCAATGTTTAGCTTCAGTACTGTATCAATGAGATTGATTCTTAAATATTAGATTATGATAATGATCGCTATAATTAATTATCACTACTAGAAAGTTTGAGGGCTGTAAATAATTTATTACAAAAGTGTTTGTACAGTTATGTTTGCAGAAGTAAATAAATAAAAATAATTTTTTAATCGAGTATCAACATACACAATAAATAGGTACAATAAGGCCCAATAAGTAGGTACTACGATTTGGGTGATCAAAATCAATAAACATTCTTGATATGAAAGCTATTATTTTGTCTAGCCTGGACAACAGTTTACCACAGTCCCAGGAATTCTTTAGGGGTGAATAATATTTAATGTAGTTTTTATGAGGGATGAGTGGCCAAGAGTCAGCTTGATATTAGCAAATGACTGGCAACATTCAGCCCTGCAGGAAAGGAAGGAAGTAGTAAACTCAAGGTCACAACACTCTGAGGATCCTTAATGATTTGTTTATGTTTGGAAATCTCTTGGTGGTTCATCTGAGCCATTTGTTCTAACTTGAGCCAACTTTTAGTGTTTTGTTTTTGTATACCAAAAGCTGCAAGTGTTACGTAGTTGTAGGAATTTATTCACTGAATTACTGCATCGAGAAAGGAATTAACTTTCGTGTTTCTATGCATTGGGATTATTATGTTTTTTGTAAAGGAACAGTCGAAAGCCTGTTTTCAATACTATCTAATGTCCTGGGGAGCGAAGTCAAGAGGTAGAACGCAATCTTTGGTCCTTGAGTTTTCAGGTTCAAATCCCGCCAAATCTCCGATGGATTTTATTTAAGAGATAATGCCCATGTCTATCCTGAAGTAATGTGAAAAACGACCAAGGGCTTCAGCCTAGCGTCCATGAACAATAAAACACCCAAACAACAATCTGAACGTCCTCCTTTTGTAACATGAGTACATTAATTAATAGCCTAATGTAAAATGGTATATGGTTTCAGAATTGACCTCACTGTGTTGTTAACACTTCCTAAATGGCTTTCCAAGCTGAACAAATAAAGTCCTCTATATTTGAGTTATTCTGAAAGATTGTCTTTAAATGCTATCCAACCTATCGATGATGTGGCCAAACTAAGTGTGTTAGTTGCTCACCTGAGCTAGGGAGGTGAACTTCTGTATGAACAGCCACGGCAGCTCTGTCAGATGGTTGAGGTAGAATCCCCGAGAGTCGGAAATGAGCACCTCTCCGCAGCAAAACTCGTCTTGCATGACTCTCGCAGAGGCCGTAGCCATCATGCGCTTGTAGAATCCCTGTGACCAACAGTGTCACAACGTGTAGATTTATCAACATTGGTTGGCTTATAATTAACTTATCCATTTATCCGTAAATTCATCCATCCACTTATTCAACCTGTCATTCTTTAATCCTATCCAACCAGTCATACATTCATCCACCCATTCACTAATACAACCAGTAACTCATCCGTTTATTCATAACTCATTGGTCAATCAATTCATTTATAAATCCATTCAGTGTTAGTAATTATAATAATTTTTCCGTGATACTTTTTTTATCTGAAATAGTTTCTTGAAAAATTTTATTTATGAACATTTTAATTGTGGTTAATTGACGGTTATATCACAACATTGTAACAGATAAAACATTTCAGCTCTACCTTCAAATCCTTCCCAGTGAATCTTTTCTCCTTATCTTCGTCATTGTAGTTAAGTATGTGTACTCGGTAGCCTTCTGGAGTGAGGTCTGGGAGGCATAAATATCGTCTGAAAAAAAATGATTGTCACTAATATCAAATATATTTCTTACATTTTAGAATTGAATTCAAATCACATTAAACATATAATTCATTGGCTAATTCGCAATTGCTCGGAAACATTTGCCACGTTTCAAAAATGTTCATTGTGTCATCTAATGTTTTGATCATATTACTTTTCGTAAAGTTTTTAGTAAACATAGTAATGTAACACTATAGTCTTACACTTTGTCAATGCTGTCTATGACATCCTTTTGCAATGGGTCTCTGGTGCAGAAGATCTCAGGAAGTTGATGCCTCATGGAGAAAAATGTGTCGATTTTGTATTTTGTCACTTCTGTGCTGAACTTTGTGCCGATCAGGTACTGCCGGATGAATTTGACTGCATAGTCATCTGAAATAATCATTACAAAGTGGGTTTGATTGAATGGTTTAAATTTCCATCAAAAATTTGATTCGATTTTACCACCCTGACAGACATCACCTTACCTCCTTGCCTGTGGCATGTGACACGCTATTTTTTGTGAGATTATTAATTGTGCCCTTTTTCCCCATCCTCAAGGGGAAATTTTTCTCTTTCTTGTTTCCTCAACAATCCTAAAACCTCCTAGTTCCTTTATATTAGCTCTCTCACATTTTTCGGCAGAGTGAAAATAGAGCTTGCATAGAACTCAAGTTTCACCAGTTAAATCCTGAGTTTATTTGGAAGCTTATTGGCTGATCCAAATTGGAAACTACTAAAACCATTTTTAGCTGTTTATTTGTGCCATAAGTATTCTTAATCTGTGACTAATGCCAGCCTAACTTCTAGTTTTACTCCGACTAATTCAGATTACCGGTAATTAGGATCTTATAAAAAAAGTGGCAGTTTATATTTTCTTATAAAGTTTATAATTTAATTATATGTTACTTTAACAATTAATATGCATACAATACTACTTATAACAACCTAATGCATATATGATTAATCAAGTATTCTTCCATAATTTTGCATATAAAATATGTTTATTTTGTGGTTAAATTTATTTAGTTTTCCTTTTTCTCAAGGGTTTTCTTGATCCTAATATTGTTATTGTTCCCCCTTCTTGGCTTCTTCAAACCATGGATCACATTCATAATTTGGCTTCATTAAAGTTCCTAATATTTAAGTCAAGTTCCTGGTGAATTGGTTGTGGGCAAGGTCATTTCTGATAATCTCAATCCCCGGCCTGTAGGCTACACATTCGGCAGCCCTATAATTATTCTCAATTAAATTCCCTCTTGTTGTTGGAAGCAGGTACAAAAAACTCGGTAGTTATTACAGCCAAGGTTGATTTATTAGTTCAAGGTTTGCTTCCTGTTTCCAATTGATCGCGATTTAGTTTCATTCTTGTGTTTTTACCTTTCCACCTAATAACAGTTTTAGTTTATATTATTGTAGAAATTATTATTGTTGTGGTCTGTATTTTATTTGTTATGTAACTCCGACCACAGTTAGCACTTGTGTTTTTAAATCTTCATTACAATTCTGGCTGAATTTTATTGTTAAGTGTTGTCTCTTAGAGGTTTGTCAAAAGCTCATAAAAAATTTTGTTGTCTTCATATTTTACTTACTTAGAGATTAATAATTTAATCAAGATTTGCTGGTAAAAATCAAAACAACACTTAAATTAAACGTCTTGCTAAAAATTTCGCAGAATTGTTCGTTTTCAAGCAAAGTTCTTTAAAATTTAAGTTACAACATTTATTAATTGAAATCAAATCATTACTGCAAAAGCGACAATCAATTTTTTTCTCTTTAGATTTTCTGGTTTCCTTTCTTTGGCTGTTCAGTTTTAAATCCCTATCAATATTTTAGTATAAAAGGGGGGGATGTAGATTAAAACCTTATAAAACATTTACATTTTTCATTTTTGATTAATGCAAAATTAAATATACCTTAATCAAAAAATGCATACAATATAATTCAGTTTTATCAATTTCTCAAGGAGCGTTTTACTACTTTAAGAATAAAAAAAAAATGCTCTCCAGATAGTTTAAAGATGTTAAAAATGAATAAATTTTCTATTCACTTAAGTTTGGACAAATGTTAAAATCTTGCACTGCATGATACATTCTGTTTTACAGTTTTCCCACTTATTAATTGATTAAATTTGAATTCACAATTTTTTTTGCTATATAAAAGAACGTTTTCATATAAAAATAAATAAAATTAAACATGAAAATGATACTATTATTTACAAACTTCAGTTACCTGGCAAAGATGGTAAATGTGGTTGTTTTTTCATCCAATCTTTGATCTGTTCTATTTTCTTTTGCACTTGAACGTCATCGTAACCGAGTTCATCCTCGACAGTTTTCCGCTGTTTTACAGTAATTGGTGCGAGTGCCATCTTGCCTAGGCTGAAAAATCATGTAATTTAATTTACACTTACATTAATTATTACGTAATCTTGTAGATTAATACCATTCAAACAGAGTTTCTTGTCAAGCTGTGGTAGTTTGATAGAAAAAATATGAGCAAGCAAAAACATTCTTAACCAAATATTTTTTGTGAAATTATTTAAATGTATTTGTGAGTCATCAGGTCCTTGACATCAATGTAAAAGTATTATTTTAGCTATGCACTATCAAATAAACCATACAATTCACAATTTGTGATGAATAATGTTTGTACATACATTGTTTATGTAAATACACATTGCTTCCTATCAATAAGATAAGGCCTAGTGTAGATCGTTGAGGAACTCCAAAAAGAGAGCATTGACAAGTGCATTTCACAACATCAGGAATGCATTGCGTGAAGTTTCCTCAACCTCACACTTGAGTCAGGTTTACCAAGGCCAATGCTCTGTGTGGAAGGTCAGCATAGTAAATCTCTTTGACTGTAAATCTATCAGTTTTAAACTCAACCACAAGCAACTATTGTACTCTCATTTACTGGTGACCATAAACACTAGATTTAAAATCGTTTTACCACAGCATAATCTGGAATTACTATTCAGGGTTAACATTTTTACAACACCTACCGGTTCCTTTAAAGAGAGAAGAAAATATAAATAAATTCAAATACATACTAAAAAACTTTTTAATTCAATTTCCTTACTATTCGAAAACAGAATTTTTAAGCACAAAAATTAGCACGTAATATTAAATTTGAATTCCATAACATAACTAAGGGAACTTTTTTATTTATTTACTTTTTTTATCTTCACGGTGCTTAGAAATACATTATTGTTTTTATTTTATGTAAGCCCTCGACTAAACTGGGACAGGTGGTGTCGTCCTGCAATCCAGCTACTAGGAGGTTGCGAATTGTGAATATTTATAGGCATGCACTGTGGATGTGATACTCCCTGGTGTGGATTAACGTCTGCACGAGTGAGTACTACGACTATCCGCAATACTATCCTGATAATTAGACCAATTCGTATATACCAAGGCAGAAATGTGGTTTGGATTCCACTATAAACTGTAGGTCCCTTAGTTGCCATTAGCTTTATGGTTAATTAACAGCTGTTTCTGAGGATATGTCGACCTTAGTCACTAACAAGACTACAAGATCGCGCCACTCATCCTACACTCATCTTCATTCATACTTGGCTTAAAATACCTACTTTGTATGGTCGCCATTTCATTGAAAAGTATTAAATGTTTACTTTCTAATGTTATTGACTTGACTCTATTCAACACATGTACTCTGTGTTTTATTGAATAAAGAATGATTTGATTTGATTACAACAAAATTGTCAATCTAAATTAAGTCTCTTTTCAAAACAGTTGATTAACAGTTAATAGAGGAAATGTATAAGTTTAAACCCATTCAAATCAAATCAAATCAAATATATGCTACATAAGTACAGTTTTGTACATTGAATGGCGTCAACTAAATCTATATTAAATTAATAATTTACAAATTTGCATATCTTAGACCATTATTTACATTAAAAACCAAGAACCAGTAAATGAAAATAATCAAAACTTTAGTACACTGATCTTATTAAGCTTAATCAAGCAATAAAACTATGGTCACAAATATTTTAAAAGCACTAACAAATTTAAAATATATTTTTTCCATCAATTAAATCTGCACTTCAAAGGGTTTATTTACTTTAAATTTAATTCCTCAAATGTACAAAAATTTTAATTTTTTTACCAAAAAATAAACTGAATTGCTATTATTTTGGAGGAAAAAATTGTTTTAGTAATTTTTAAAATTCAGTTATTTATTTTAACGATTGTTTAAACGATAGTTTTTTGTTTAAACACACAATTATATCTGTTCTAAAATATCTTGCAGACTGACCAAGTTTAATTTGTAAATATCTATATGCTTAATACAATAATGGGATTCTCTGTTACACCCCTTTTCCATTGGTCCTATTAAACTGATTTTCACGATTGGGTTGTCATTTTAGAGCTTATGATCTAGTGGAGTGACTATAATGGTAATTACAAAGGCAATTTCTTCTAGGGCTCTTCCCCCCTAGTGTTTGATTTTTGTCTTAAGTTCAAACATTTTTCAAACATTTCAAACATTAAAATATGCTGGACCAACATTCTTTATAATGTTTTAAATGTAAATCGTTATTTAACAGCTGATCAGTTGAAATTTTAAATACAGCCAGATTGTAAATAAGAGACAACTTGTGAAAATGGATTAAAAATAAGTTACTTTATGATAATTGTAACCTGATTGAGGTAGGTAAAATATTTTTTTATTTCCACCAAAATCGTCATTTAGTTTCAAATTAACATAAATAGTTGAGCAAAACACTTATAAAAAAAAAATTAAGGGACAAAAAACCCCAAAATCAACCAAAAAATAATATCCTTAGTCCAACAGAAGTACATGTTGAAAATCATGAAACAGGGAATAAAATAAGTATTTAATTGAATGTAACCAACCAACTTAGTATGAAAAGTCAAATTTAAAATATATCCCCAAACAACCAAACCACAACCGTTTATTTTATTCTCTATGAAAATAACATACAACTTTTAAATTTACAGTTTTTTTTTTAATTTTCTCCTAACCATTAGGTGCACAAAACGCTTTAATATAAGCTATTAAATTATTTTTGTAAGCTCTAAAAAATAGTTTAGAGAAACAATTACAACATTTATTTTTTAGGTTTAAAAATATGAAAACCCAATTTTTTACCCTATAAAACCCTGTTCCCATAGTCCAATAATGTAGGTTTCCTAGAAAATTCGCTAAAGTTAAATTATTTAAATACACCAAAAAATATTGATCATAAATCCATGTAAAAAAAAAATATAAAAAATGGTAAAAATACTCACACAAATATCAGACAATCTTCATTGGCCAGGTAATCCAGGGGTGTGAGCCAGTTGATTGAGCCACTGACTTGTGTATGTGTGTGTGTGTGTCAGTGAGCCACCGACTACTGACTAGTGTATGTGTGTGTGTCAGTGAGGTGACTGATGGCTGATACTTAACCAGTGTCTGACTATCAGGTTCACACAGATCATTAGAAGTCCATTTGATGACCTTGCAAAAGAGGGGGGGGGGGGGGAGAACTAGCCAAGGATATGTCCAGCAATTATAACATAGACAGTTGTGGATGTTGGGAAACACTAGGCTGTTGGAGGTTAGTGTTTCAACCAGGTGAAGGGTTGGTGAGAGTTCAAAACTAGTTTTTGAGGAAAAACAGAAATTATACAATACGGTTTTACCTGAAGGTTATGATTATTTAATATTAGGTGAATGAAATTACAAATTACAATAAATATAATTTTTTTAGTAGATTTACACCTTATAATAAAGTGATTTACCTTACTCAGTCAGCTTAATTATCAATAATAGTAGCGTAATTAAAATCCATTTTCATAAAATATTTCGTTTCTTGTTTACTATTTGACTGTGGTTAAAGATTTAACTAAAGGATCAGCTGTTGTATTACAATTCACATTTAAAACACAGCTGGTTTACATGTGTTAGCAGCTCTGAATATTTATACTAAATGATCCTAGGGAGTGAAAATGAAATTAACTTTTGACTTACTATTCTTCCCTTGTTAGTTTTTGTGGTTCTTTCTTAACAAGAAGCACTTTAACTTTTCTGTGAGCAGCATTCTACTCAAGGATGCCTCTTTAATTTCATGAGTTGCTTAATTAAACAATCTTATACCCGATACAACTCTATATTTTGTTTGAAGTCATGCAAGTCAGTAATATTTATTTTGTCCCCATTAGCAACTGTACAAAAATTAAATGTAGATAAATTCATTATGTAGCCCATGAACTGTTTAAATAATAAGACGATATACCTTACATCAACAGTTCAACAAGTGGTGTTCAAATTCACGGCATGTTTCGCCTATTCATTCAGGCTTTGTCAAGTGATCTTTACAAGAATGATTCACCCAGATGAGGTTTGTCAATTACGAACAAATAAATGCACATTATAGACACACGAGATAACATCTAAACATTTAGAGTAGTATTAAAAAGGTTTAAATACCTGCTATCAAGCAATCCATTTAATTGCAATTAAATGGATTGCTTGATAGCAGGTATTTAAACCTTTTTAATATTATTTGGCAATCCGGAGGCTACATCCACAATGAATTTAGAGTAGGCCTACTATTGTGGTTGCGGTACGGAGGCAGACTACTAGGTACTGTACTTAGTAACACCACTTGTTGAACTGTTGACGTAAGGTATGTACCTATGTCTAATTACATACTTTCACCAAACTGCATTAGATCTGAACAGTAATTATTTAATTTTCTTTGAAAGCAAATTTTCTTTTAGTGCTTGATAATCAACGCCTGATTTATGACTTGCCTAAGCTCACATAACCAAATACAGGAAACACAAATCTCAGTTGCTCGGCTTGGATGAGTTACTCCGAGTTGTTATAATTATAATTACACTCATCCAGGAAACTATAACCTTGGTAGGTGTTAGCCCGAGTGTCCTTGGTCGCTACCAATTTATGAGTCTTCCAAATTACTTTAACGCTGTGATTGTTTTTCAGATTTTGGTTGTTTTTTTAATGCCTATAATTTATAAGTAGTTACCCATTATACATTTAGTATATGTATTGAATCACTATGGAAGTTTGTTTTGACGTTTAACTTTTTATGTGAGCGTGGTTTTTATTTTAAGTTTTATTTTAGGTTTGGTTTGTTTTAAGTGGTTTTTAGTATTAAATACCCCTCGCCGCAGAAAACCTGCGACTAAGTGAATTTCCATTTGCCTGATTTGATTTTCACAAATCTATGGTTTAACAAGGGTAATAAAGTCTGTAAAATAATAATAGCTTAGTAAAAAACAAACAAATTTGCCAAATTTGAGAAAAATATATATCCATAAACAAGCAAACTACAATAGTTTACAATTTTCTCCCTAAAAATAACATGGGAATTTTAAATTTACAATTTTTTTTAGTTTTCCCTGTTAGCAATATTTAGGAAACCAAAAAATGTGTCAAATAACACTTTTAATAATATATTTACTCTTATACTTTTTCATTCACCTATCAGGTCTGATGATGATTGGAGTATCCAATCAAAATCTATCACCACTTACCATGGTTTTAGCGAATTTCCCATATAGGGAATAAGCTATTACCGTAGGTCTCATGGTAAGACCTGGACTCGGGACCGATTTACTTTTTCATTTTGATGTCCCCAGAGGCCAAAAACACCATCCGTTCAAATTCATATATATATATATATATTTATATATTTATATATATATATATATATATGTGTGTCCGTCAGCACGATAACTCGAACAAAAATTATCCGATTTTGATGAAATTTGGTATAAACGTGTAAACATACATTTATTTGAACGAGTTCGCGAACCAGCATGATCGGACCATGGGAACAGGGGTTTATGGGGGGCTTTATGGATTAAAAATGGGTTTTTCCCATTTTTGACCCTAAAAACATAAAATTTTGGAATTTTTTTCTCAACCATTTTGTAGGGCTTAAAAAAGTAAATAATTTAGTATATTGAAGCATTGTTGTATGCCTAATGGTTACGGAGAAAATTCAAAAAAGTGCAAATTTAAAATTCCCATGTTATTCTTATGGAGAAAATGAAAACTGTTGTGGTTTACTTGTTTATGGATATATATTGATAAAATTTGGCAAATTTATTTATTTCATCCTATACTATTGACTTATGGTCGAAAATGCTTTTTACCTTCCCTGTAGCAGCAAACCTAAGCACTCGTTAAATCTAAATGTTATTTAAATTGAGAATAAATATGTCTTATATATGGAAATATTTTAGTAAAAATGTAATCAGACAAGTTGAAATTCGCTTAGTCTGCAGGTTTGCTGTGGCGGGGGTATTTATGTATGTCTTAGGTGTAAATAATATACTATTACAAGTGTTACTTTACGTATTTTTGTGCTTTCAGGTAATTTAATAATACGCACGATGCTGATAAAGAAATTATTTAGAAATAATTGTATCGAAACACTTTATTATCTATATAATTAATACGCTACATGAAACTTTGTCGGTTGAACTCCTCCGCCATTTCTTAACCGATTTTATCCATTGACGTCTCATTGGAAAGAGCGGGTTGCGTAGATTTGCAAACTGGCCTTGCATTTTTGAAAAAGTCCCTTGGGCTCTGCCCCAGTGGATTTGAAAGTTCCCATGTTATCCTTATGAAGAACATAATTGTTTACATTTTAATCAGCTGTATAATTTAATTATTGTTATTTATTTTTCGATTCAAAGTCTTTTAAACTCATCGGAAATTATGATGACTTTTATTTGTCTTTAAATAACTACTTTACAGTACTTCTTTGCAATTGCTCGATTTCGAGCAACGTGTTTACTAGTACTAAATTATAAGCTCTACAAAATTGTCAAAGAAAAATTGGATTGTATGTTTTGAGGATCAAAAATGAGTAAAACCTATTTTTATCCCATAAAACCATCAATAAAACCCCATTCCCATAGCCTGATCATACTGGTTTGCGAACTCGTGTGAACAAATGGAGGTTTACATGTTTGTACGAAATTTCCACTCACACACACACACACATATATATACATGCTATATACATATTGCTGTATATATAGAGGCCTAGATATGAATTTGAACGGACTGTGTTTTGGTCACTAGGGATATAAAAATGAAAAGTAAATCAGTCTCGAATCTAGGTCTTACCATAACACCTACGGTAATAACTTACTCACTATATGGGAAATTCACTAACATGTCTTGAATCAAGAGTTTAGCTTGGTTCTCCGTTCTCTTAAAAAAATTCGAAACATTTTGGTAGTTATCATTGACAGTTACATGATTTTTAAGGAAAAAATCAATGGAAAAAATTATCAATTCAATTCAATTCAAATATCTTTATTTGTTTTTATGTACATTGTACAATAAATAGTGTCAAAATAGTTCAACAGGATAAAAAACAGCAAAACATGAGGAATGGTTATAAAAACAACAAATACATTTTACAAATCAAAGTAAGATAATTTCAACTATCATAGCGACTGAGGGAGGTAAAAAAATCTTCAAACGAATAAATCGCTTAATTTATTAAAAACTCTTTCAATATTTTTTTAAATTTGTTTGGATCTGTTTCTTTTTTAATATTTTTTGGAATAAATTTAAAAAATCTATTACGGTACCTGCATAAGATGGGTTCTTTTCAAACAATTTAGTCCTGTGTGGTTGTACATTTTTGTTCTTATTTCTTAAATTATAAGAATGGGATATTTTTTTTGGTTCCAAATATACTTCTTGTTTTTTTTGCAATTGTTATTGAATCATATATATATACTGCCCGTAAACAGTAAAGATTTTTAGGTCCTTAAAATGTTCTTTAGCTGACTCATCACGCTGCAGCTTAAGCATGATTCTAACCGCTCTTTTTTGCTCCTTTAAAATGCTATCTAGATTACATAATTTTGTTGAGCCGTAGAGTGCTATGCCAAACAAGATATATGTGAATGCACATGTGCAAAATATATATTTTTTACAGTTTTTAAATCACAGTAAAAAGTCATACTTGATAAAGCATGAATTCCGGAATTAATTTTAATTAAAATTTTGTGGACATGTTTATCCCAATTCAAGTGCTGATCTAGTGTTAAACCTAAAAAATTGATACTAATTTCTTCATCAATATTTTGTAAGTTATAGCTTATTGTTGTTGGCTCCTTCTGTCTATTTTGTTTTGTCTTAAAATTTATAAATTTAGTTTTTTGTAAATCCATCATCAAGTTATGGTTGCATAACTAAATAATAGTTATTTGCAAATAAAACTATTTAATAATCTTCCAATATATTTTAGAAATCAGGAAAGTATTCATGTGTATAGGTCAAAATTATCAGATTGGCTTACAAGTCGTGCTTTTTATTCAGTTGAGAAGTTTTTGCAGAATGTAGATTTTTCAACGCTTAAATGTGAGGCCAAGCAGTCTTGATGATTCT